ACAGCGGAGTCAAAGAACAGAAGTTTGGGGCCCCAAAATGAATAGACCCGGAGAAAGAAATAGCAGTGAATGGCATAGTTCACCCAGTAGCTCCCAGCCTCGCTACTGGTAGGGACATATGACAGCATCCATCATCCTCTAGCTCCTTAGAGATCTCCCTGAGATCTGGTGTTGAGCTGGGTTCCAGACAAATTAGGGTATGTGGGGGTCTCTCCCCACACAGCTTCAAGGTCAGAGAGAGGCCAGGATGCCAGTGATGTGAAGGCTGAGAGGCTGGGTGTAGCAAGAGAGAAGCAGAGGTGGAGGAGAGAGAGGGAAAGACAGAAATGAAAAGACGGAGATGGAGAGACACCCTGGGCCATAAGTGGACAGTAACACTCTGGGGAGAGATAGAGAGATGGTCAGAAAGAGAAAGAGAAACAAGGAAACAATGGTGAGAAGCAGATGCAGAGGGGCCAAGCTAAAAGGAGAGAGGAGGGTGGACAGTCTGTACTCACTGAACTTTTTGCCGGTTTTCTTGGGCATCTCTGTCATGTTGTCAAGTTGTGCAAAGCCCCTGTCTTGCTAGCATGTGGCTGATCCAGGCTCAAGACATCAAGGGAAGGGCCTCCCCGCCACCCCTTCCCCTTTCTCTTGCCCTCTCAACTTCCCTCCTCTGTGTATTTTTAAACAAGAGAAACTCCCACAGCCCCACCCTCCCACCCTCTCCACAGGGGGCGGGGGCTGGGGCCTCCCCAGTCCAGCCCCTGAGGGCCTCCTCAGCCAGCAGCAGGGGCAGGGGGCACTCCACAAACCCATGGGACCTGGAAAGCCTGAGGAGCAAACCACAGGCTCTGGGAACAGAGCCCACTAGGCTGGGGGCCACAGGGGACCTGCCAACAGCTGTCAGGGGGGCTGGCTCATAGGATGGGAATAAGGAAGACAGGCCCAGGATTGGGTAGTGTATTCTAAGGCCCAGTACCCAGGCAATGCACTGGCAGTGATAAAGATTATGCTGGAGGTAGGCCTGTGGGCTGGGGTCATTCACTTTTGATTGGCTACTTTGTCACTGCGTGATCATGGGTGAGATGATTCATCTGCTTGAGTGTCAGTTTCCTCTTGGTGAGCAGGACGTGCCAACCTCACGGTGGCCAGAGCAGCAGACAGATCCAAGCATGATTGTCCCTGTCCGAGTTAGCAGGCACGTGTGAGGGCAGGTCTTCCCTGCCCTTTGGACAGAGACAGGAAAACTGAGGCACAGAGAGGCAAGGAGATTACACAGGTCACAGAGAGAGTTGGTGGCACACACTGGGTCACAATTTGTCCTTCCAATAATATACAGGCTGGGGCAAAGCAAACACAAATAAATGTGTGTGTGTGTGTGTGTGTGTGTGTGTGTGTGTGTAGGAGTGTGTGTGAGTGTATCTGAGTGTGTGTCTGTATGTGTATGTGTGTGGGTGTGTATGTGTGTCTGTATATGAGTATGTGTCTGTGTGTGTCTGAATGTGTATGAGTATGTATGTGTATGAGTGTGTCCAAGTGTGTATGAGTATATATGTGTCTGTATCTGAGTGTGTCTGTGTGTGTGTGTGTGTGTGTGTGTGTGTGTGTGTATCTGAATGTGTATGAGTTTGTGTGTTTTCTGTGCCCACAAAGTACAGATATAAGGAAATGAAACCCCCATGTACAGCTGTAGTGGAGGGTGGTAGCAGGTGTTAAGACTGGAGAGCTACAAGGTCAGTCCAGTTCTGAGTGACATCACCTCTCTAGCCTCTGTGCCAATAGTGACAAGGACGATGCCATGTGCAGCCATCCTCTAGAGATTCTGCTTCCCTCGTTTTCTTTACTCCGGATGGAGTTTTGTGTCTTTCACATACTAGGCAAGTTCTCTATCACTGAGCCACAGCTCCAGCAGCCCAGAGTGGACATTTTTGTTGTTGTTCTGAGATATAAATCTGACATAACCTTGGCTACCTCAAATTGGAGATCTTTTTATCTCAGCCTCCAAGTCCTGGGATTACATGTATGTAACCATCCCACCTGGCCTGTGAGAGATATAGTCCAGGACAGATGGGTCCCACCCTGCATCCTCCATCAAAGTGTTGTCCCCCAGGTCAAGTCACTTGGGGCTGGAATCTGCCAATCCAACAACAGAACCCTGGGAGTTGACATCCAGGCCGCAGCTCTTCAGCCTCCTGTGAGCTGGAGGACATTCTTGGAGAAAAAGAGGTCAGAGTGACTCTCTTGATGGAATGAAGAGGACCCCAAGGTCCTGAGAAAAAAAGGAGACTCAGCCCTACAAGGTTATGGCTGCAGGGTCCTGCTTATAGAGGCCTGCATGGGCCATTGCTCAATGGCCAAGGAGGAAATTTTAGACCATTATCTCAGTTACTTTTGCTGTGACAACTACCATGACCAAGGCACTTGGCTAATTGGGACTCATGATTCCAGAGCAAACTCCCAGGTGGCACCCCTTCCCTCTCCAGGTCACATTCGGGAGATAGGGAGAGCCTTACAGCCTGGAAAGAGCTAAGGGTCCTCCCAGTGGATTGCAAAGTGTATTCCCCTAGCTGCTCTCCTGGGAGGCAGGTACAATATGACTTGGACTAAAGACCCAGGCTGTGGCATCAGCTGACCAAAACAGTGCTGGCTTTCTGGCCAGACTAGCTCTGTAACCACTGTGTATTGAACTTCTCTTGACCTCAGTTTCCTTTACTATGAAATGGGCATCACAGTAACCCCTACTTCATGGGATAAGTCTCTGGCCAGTACAGGGTGGCCCTCAGCAAGCCCTGCCTCTGTGGCAGGAGTACAGTGGGCCAGGCCAGCCAACCATGGTGGGTAGGTAGGCACACGGTATGAAACCTAGGAAGCTGGATCTTGTCTGTTGCTATGGCACGGATGCCTTGTCAGGGCCAGGCTTGCCGTTGGCCCAGGCGCCAGGATAGTTGCTGGTGTCCCTGGGAGAATGAATGGGCTCAGTGTGGCGAGGAAGCTGTGCTCAGAGCCTCCTTTGTGCTGCATTAAGTGGCCGTTGGAAGTGTGTCGGAGAGACCTGCTGGCTTGTGGCTGTGCTGCAGTTCGTCCACAGCCTGTGCTGGAGGTCCATCAAGGCAGCCCTCTGCTGGAGTCCTGACCATAGACTACTGTGCCCCCTCCTCTAGGATAAGGGCTTTTGCCTAGGCTTCATCTGCTTTGCCAGGCCATGCTTACCTCTCTCTAGTCCCTTAATCTTTTGATTCCTTCCAGTCCCTACAGTGCAGGAGTGAGCTAATGCCTTACACCCCCAGCACCCCCCCAAAAAAAAATTACTTGGAAAAGGAATCCTCTTTCTGGTTCATACTGGCCCTGCTCTGGGGCTATACTGTAGATACTTGCTCAGCACAATCTGATACTAAAGGCAGTATAAAACCAAAAGGAAAGAAAAAGAGAGAAAAAAAAAAAGCCAGTGGTGGTGACCCATGTCTTTAATCCCAGCTCTTGGGAGGCAGAGTCAGGCAGATCTCTGTGAGTTCAAGGCCAGCCTGATCTACATAGTGAATTCCAGGACAGATGATGTGAGTCAACACAAGGCCAGGCAGAGGCAGTGAAACCAGTGGGAGGCAGTGAAACCAATGGTTGGATGGGGCCCTTCGAATCAAAACCTGATCTCTGTTCTGCATCCTCAATGAGTGAATATACATACCTACAGCTTAGAGCTCCCATCTCATGAGCCTGCTCTCGCTTCTCCTCCATCAGATCCTAGCACTATCCAAGCTTGGGAGAGGAAAACAGGGTCCAGGTATTTTAGACAGTGTTCTGTTGCTGTGAAGAGACACTGTGACCAAAAAGGGCTTGCTTACACTTTCAGAGGGAGCATGACAGGACCAAGGCACTAGAATAGCAGCTGAGAGCTACATTCTGCTCTGTAGACAGCAGACAGAAACTGGGCCTGGCCTGGCCTGGCCTTTTGAAACCTCAAAGCCCACCCCCCAGTAACACACTTCCTCCAACAAGGCCACACCTCCCAATCCTTCTAGCCCTTTAAAACAGTTCCACTCTCTGGTGATTAAGCATTTAAATATATGGAAGCCACTCTTTTTTTTAAGATTTTATTTATTATGTATACAACATTCTGCTTCCATGTATATGGAAGCACACCAGAAGAGGGTACCAAATCTCATAAGGGATGGTTGTGAGCCACCATGTGGTTTCTGGGAATTGAACTCAGCACCTCTTAATCCCAGCTCAGGGGAGGCAGAGGCAGGTGGATCTTTAGGAGTTCAAGGCCAGCCTAGAAAAGCACTTTACTACAGGATTTTAATTTCTGGGTTTTGTTTTGTTTTGTTTTTCTGAGACAGGGTTTCTCTTTGTAACAGTCTTGGCTGTCTGAGAACTTGCTTTGTAGGCCCGGCTAGCATTGAACTCACTGAGATCCAATAACCTCTGCCTCCCATGAGCTGGGATTAAAGGTGTGTGTCACCATGCCTGGTTTTATTTTTTCATTTTTTAGAGAAGGTCTCTCTGAGATTTTGTTTGTTTTTGTTTTTCCGAGACAGGGTGTCTCTGTGGCTTTGGAGGCTGTCCTGGAACTAGCTCTTGTAGACCAGGCTGGTCTCGATCTCACAGAGATCCACCTGCCTCTGCCTCCCAAGTGCTGGGATTAAAGGTGTGTGCCACCACTGCCCGTGTCTCTCTGAGATTCGAAACTAGACTTGAACTTACTCTTTAGCCCAGACAAGCCCTGAACTTTCAACCTTCCTGTTTCATCAATTTAGTATCTGGGATTCCTGTCCACCAGACCTGGCTTCCTTAGCTGTTAAATGGCTATAGACTTGAGGTGTCATCAGCCAGCCAGTCAGCAGGTCTTTTCTGAGGTTGGGTCACATGCTGGGCCTTGGTGGTTTTGGCAATCCACAGAAAACAGGCAATATCTGAAGCCAACAAAGCAGAAGCCAAAGTGGATTCAAAATGGATAATTTCACTCCACTTCCCTCCTGGATTTACCAGTTGTGAAGGTACAAGGTTCCAGACCTGGACAGCCTTCCAAAGCCCCCTGATCATTCTTGTTTCCCCTATGGAGGGCTGAGGGCCCTAGGCTCTGAGGGGAAGTGACTGGAAGATGTCAGGGCTCTTGTTGAGGGTAGAGGTGACAACATCACAGGAAACTCTGCTAAAGCCTCTTTCTGCCCACAGGATGTGACTTAGGGAGGGCTCATGAGAAATAGGCACCAGCCTATAGCCTAAAACGCGGGACAGTAGCACCCACACAAGCCCAGGACAGCCTCCTCCCATCAATGCTACTGTTGCTTTACCACATTTCCCATGATCACCAAGGCAGATGAGATTGTACCCAAGTTTTGCCCTGGTTGGGAAGGACCTTGACATAAGTCACTTTTTGGAGTTTATGCCAAACTTACCTGATTCAAAACCAGTGTGGCGGGCTGGAGAGATGGCTGAGAGGTTAAGAATACTGGCTGTTCTTCCAGAGGTCCTGAGTTTAATTCCCAGCAACCACATGGTGGCTCATAACCATCCGTTATAAGATCTGGTGCCCTCTTCTGGTGTGCAGATATATATAATAAATAAAATCTTAAAAAACAACAACAACAAAAAAAAAAAAAACAGTGTGGGCACCGGCTAGTTGTCTGACCATGGCTCAACACTTTCATCTCTGAGGGTCAATGTCCACATTGCACAGTGGAGGTGAGAGTGGTGCCCTCTGCATCCATCTGACAATAGAAATAACTCCCACACAGGGCCATGTAGGGCTTAGCCACTTATTTTCTTTCTATAACTGTAAATACTGCAATTACTCTCTCCCTCTTATCGCTGACTTTTCCCCTCCCTGCTTCTTGCTTCAGATAAGCAGTAGATCCATGAAGGTAGGCTCCAGGTCATTCCTGGACATGCGCCTTGATTTCCTGAAGCCCTGGCTGGCCCAGTGGAGTACCTTGAAAGGCCTCCTTGGCAGGACCCTTCTAACAGTAGGTACTCCTGGGACACTAGGCTCACCAAAACCATTCTTCCTTCCAAGAAGCTTCATGCCCAGACAATGTGGGATAAAACTGGAAAGCAACCGAGGGAAAAAAAAAAAGAAGAAGCCAGGCAGTGGTGGTACATGCCTTTGAGGAGACAGAGACAGACAGATCTCTGAGTTCAAGACCAGCCTGGTCTACAAGAGCGAGTTTCAGGACAGCCTCCAAAGCCACAGAGAAACCCTGTCTCGAAAAACAAAAACAAAACAAACAAACAAACAAACAAAAAAACTGGAAAGCAATGCTGGTCATAATGATGTCTGGAGATTAACATAAGGGGATAGTCTAGAGTTTAAGGGTCAGCCTAGACTACTCAATGAGCATCAGATCAGTGAGGACTATGTAACATGACCCTGTGTCAATCAAAACTAGAGGGGTAAGCAAACCGGAAGACTTCCTGCAGCCAACCCTGGGGAGTGGGGTGCTAAGAGGAATCCCAGCTCTGAAGGCAGGAGGGCTTGGGAATCTGGTAAGCAGCAGGCAGTTTTCCAGACCCAGCCCAGGAGCTGAAACGCTGGAAAGATCCTCAGTGTCACACTCAGAATTTCAAGGCTGTAGAGGATGATATATCAGACTTCAGGGTGATCTGGAGCAGGCTGGAGTGAGACAGGGGGAGAAGCTAGGCTAGTGGAAGCAGGACTCAGGCTCCATCCTTGGGAGGGAAGCTGCTGGAAAGGAGGGGCAGATTGAGAAGCTAGGAACACCGCTTTGCTGGCTTGCATCTGGAGGCTCCTGGAACCTGGAAGATGATGGCGGAGGAGGGTATGACTGGAAGGAACTCAGGGCAAATGGCGGATATCAGTGCATAAGAACAAAGGGCCTCAAGTGTACTGTAAAAATGAAACATGAGAAACCTCTTCATAGCTAAAGTCAGCCTTGCCACTGTTCAACCTTGAGCAGACAACCTCCTATTTCTGAGTTGCCATTTCTTCTGTAAAATGGGTTAGTAAACCTTGGTCACAGGATAGGTTCAGGATTCAACCGGAACGCCCAGCATTTCTAAAGCATGCAGGAGTGCTGGATCAATGGTAACTATTTTTGCGAGGACCGACCCGGGACGAACAAGCTCTAGAGCAGCTCCATGAAGGAGGGTCTTGGGTCTCATACCTGCCTCGCAGACAACACAAGATCCAGGGTTTAGGCCTGAGCGTTGTTCGCTCTCCGCCTCCAGTGTCGCCGCGCCCCCTCACACACACACACACACACACACACACACACACACACACAATTTATTTATTTTAATTTAACAATTTAATGTGCATAGTTCCAGTCATTATGGAGGCTGAACAGGAAATTGCTCCAGCTAAGAGTTCCAGGTATGCCTAGCTAACAAACAGGACCCCACATCAAAAGAATTTTTGTGAAGACTTCCTTTTGTACTTGCTCTGTATCCTAGAGTGTCCTCAAACTCACAGTAGTCCTTCTGCCTTAGCATCCAAAGTGTTGGGATTATAAGCATGTGTCACAGTATCCAGCTCTCAAAATTCCTTCTCACAAATGACTGTAATACTTCCACGTGCATGGAAAGGTACATACACAAACCAGCCTGGCTTACATGACGAGTCCAGGCCTGCCTCACTACAGAGTGAGGCTCTGTCTGCAAACAAACGAGAGAGCAGCCCTGCATGCTATGTATCATAGGAAGACACTGGGAGGAAGGCAGAGGCCTCCAGGATAAGGCCTGTTTTGTCCCCTGCTCCATCCTGAGCGCTCAGCTCAGTAAGTGTCCAGTAAAGGCAGATGACATCAGTGGTTCCTGAGAGACTGTCATGCTGGAGACTGGTGTGTGCTGAAGCGGAAGGTGGCCCGTTTCTCACAGGACAATGTGTAAAGGGAAAGCTTGTTTTTGTGAAGAAAAATAAGAGTTGTTTATGTGAGCATAGAAAGGAATCTTGGAGGGATACACCCAGAAGGGTGGTTACCAGAAGCTTCCATCTGAGGAGAATCTTTGGAAAGACATGCTTACTTGACTCACTCTTCCTGGCTCTTCTGGGTGGGGGTGCAGCTCAGTGGTAAAGCACCTAGCATTTGCTGGAGGCAGGCATGGCCAAGCAGTACGACTCAGTGGAATGCCCGTTTTGCGATGAGGTCACCAAATACGAAAAACTTGCCAAGATCGGCCAAGGCACATTCGGGTAAGAGTAGGCCGCATGGGGCCGGGAGCCCAGGACCTGCACTTTTCAGAGCAGAAGTCGGGACGCCCGGGGCCTGGGCCAAGATGGTCCTGAAGCTTCTCTTTCCCTGGTTATGGCCTGGTGCCGCTAGGCAGAGCCGCAGACGGTCCCGGCCTAACCGAGCGGACCAGCGGGGAGGAGCCTGAGGCCCGGGATGGGGGTGGGGTAGGGTTGCCGAGAGGCGCCCAGAATGTGAGCGGAATCTCTCAGAGACACTCCTGGGGGAGGATCAGGGGCCGCGGGGAGAGCGCGGAGCCTGGGAGGGAGGCCGAAAACCACGAGGTGCCGAGTAGCGGCGTACCGGAGTCTCAGGCGGCGCCCAGCCGAGTATCTGGCCTCCTGCTGCCCCTGTTCGCGTGGGGGAGGGGCGGGTCCTGCGGAAATGCCTCACGGGTTCTCTCGGGTCTTTCTCTGTGCCTGCAGGGAAGTGTTTAAAGCCAAGCACCGTCAGACGGGCCAGAAGGTGGCTCTGAAGAAAGTGTTGATGGAGAATGAGAAGGAGGGGGTGAGTATGGTTTACTAGGCATTCCTTCCTAACTGTGTTTCCACATTCCTGCGTCAAAGACTTTGGTGCTGAGATTTTGTTAATACCTAGTGTTCTGCGATTTTCCATGTAACAAGGAATTTGGCTTACCACTTTCAGTTTTGAGTGGCAAAGTTTGGCGGAGGCCACGTGAGGGAGCGTATACTTTGCATGCAGTGCAGGTTGACTCTAGAAGGCAAGCCTTTAATTCAAACGTCTTTAGCGCCGGGTGTGGTGGCACACGCCTTTAATCCCAGCACCTGGGAGGCAGAGGCAGGCAGATCTCTGTGAGTTCAAGGCCAGCCTGGTCTATAGAGTGAGTGCCAGGATAGGCTCCAAAGATACACAAAAAAACCCTTTCTTGAAAACAAAAAAAAAAAAAAAGAAAGAAAATCCTTAGCTTAGCGTTTGATTTTTGTTCTGTGTGAAGAGACAGTGTGTGCACAGGTCTTTGAAAGGGTGACTAAGTTCAAGGTGCTGTTTTGCTGCCCCTCTCCAAAATCTGGGTAGTTTGTTTTCATGCGTGTCTGTGTACAAAAGCTTGCCTGCTGCTTGAGGAGGCCAGAAAGCTGTGTTGAATCCTTTGGGACTAGAGCTAAAAAAGGTTGCGAACCACCATGTGGGTGCTGAGAATTGAATCTGTGTCCTCCAGCTAGTGTTTTTTGTTTTTGAAATAGGGTCTTTGCATGAGTTTTGTTTGTTTGATGTAGGATATATCTGCTTAGCTCTGGCTGCCCTTGAATTCACTATGTGGAGCAAGCTGACCTCAAACTCACAGAGATCCAGCTGCCTCTACTGGGATTATAAAATGCTGGAATTAAAGGCGAGGGCCATTGGCCATCTCAGTTTCAGGAAATTTCTTATCTTAACCCACAAGTGTTAGTAACAGACTTAAAATCTGTGTTTGGATTGTCTAAAATGAATTCCTAGCCCAGCATATAGGCTTCTTATTACAATCCCTGGACTCAGGCTAAAGGACTAGAATTATTCACAAAACAAGTTCAAGGCCAACCTGATCTAGATGGTAAAATGAGACGTTTGTATTACTATAAATCTTTATATTGTGTACTTGTAATAGTATGCAAATCTTTTCTCTCCCCACCTCCCGAGGCAGGATCTCAACTATGTAATCCTGCTGTGTGTACTCCTGGGTAATGGGATTGGATTGCAGACAGGAACTATTACACAGAAACCATACTGTTGCTTGCCTTTCAGCCTCAGCCTCACCCTCAGCCAGTTCCTTGGTCCTTTGCACACTCGTTTTAACCACTTTTTCTCCTCCTTAGTTCCCTATTACAGCCTTGCGGGAAATCAAGATTCTACAGCTCCTGAAACACGAGAATGTGGTCAACCTAATTGAGATTTGTCGAACCAAAGGTGTGTTTGGATCTTGTGAGCAAATGAGGTTTACCAAGTAAGGCTGTTTGCACCCCTGAGGTGGATGTGCTTAAACTGCCTCTTCCCCGCTCAGATTAACCACACTGCTTCCTCTGGTCTTTTTTTTTTTTTTTCCCTTCATTGGAGTTGGTGCTTTTCGTGGGTATCTGTGGGAGGGTTGGAAGTTGGCTATGAAAAAATTAGGTGGGTATAGGTCTTTGACCTCTCCCCCCCCATTCTGTATCAGCTTCCCCCTATAACCGTTGCAAGGGCAGTATCTATCTGGTGTTTGACTTCTGTGAGCATGACCTTGCTGGGCTGCTGAGCAACGTCTTAGTAAAGTTCACGCTGTCTGAGATCAAGAGGGTGATGCAGATGCTGCTGAACGGCCTCTACTACATCCACAGGAACAAGGTGAGGGCTGGGAAGGAACTGGGGTTGCCACTGTCCTTTACTGCTGTGTGGATGGGTAAACCTGACTGAGCTCTCCTGTGTCTCCCTGCAGATCCTGCACAGGGACATGAAGGCGGCCAACGTGCTCATCACCCGGGATGGGGTCTTGAAGCTGGCAGATTTTGGGCTGGCCCGTGCCTTCAGCCTAGCCAAGAACAGCCAGCCCAACCGCTATACCAACCGAGTGGTGACATTGTGGTACCGGCCCCCAGAGCTGTTGCTCGGTGAGGACTCTTGAGCCATCATCCCTGAGACATCGAGTCTCAGGAGACCCTTGGGTTTAAAGAGCCCTCCTGGTACACTTTTCTTCTCAGGAGAGCGGGACTACGGCCCACCCATTGACCTGTGGGGTGCTGGGTGCATCATGGCAGAGATGTGGACTCGCAGCCCTATCATGCAGGGCAACACGGAGCAGCACCAGCTTGCCCTCATCAGCCAGCTCTGTGGCTCCATCACCCCAGAGGTATGTAGCCAAGCTAGTGGTCCTGGGGTTCAGAAATCCAAATCCCTCTGGACAGTGGTGTGGCGAGGAGGTTGCTTGATGGAGGGCCTGGGCCTGCTGTTCAGAGCCTTATGGGTGTTTATCTCACTCCTGAACCTGTTGGTTTTCTGAGCTTGTTGTGTTAGCTTTCTGTTGCTGTGACGGTAACAGGGAACGAAAGTGGAAAGATTTGCTTTTATTCCGAAGCTTTAGCCAATGGTTGCGTAGCCTTTGCTTTGGTGCTGAGATGCTGCTAGATGTCATGGCAGAGAGTGACAGGAGAGCAGAGGTGTGGCCATGGCAGTGAGGAAGCAGAAGAGTAGTGATCAGTGTGGTGGCACACGGGCTTAGCGCCAAGCGATACGCAGCATGCCTCATGAGGTGCTGTTTCCCTTTTGGCTTCCACCTCCCTAAAGTTTCCACCAGCTTGGGACCAGGCCTTCCAAAGATGAGCTTTTGGGGACAAGCTTTTCTGTTGAACAGGAATGTCCCTGAGCAGGGGCTGGCACCTTTATGCCAGATGACTTGTGTAAAGTGCCCAGACACTAGGAGCATAGCACATCTGGCTTGACTACTGCTGGATGGTGTCTGATTCTTTGGAGCGTGGGCGGGGTGTCAGGGAGCATGTGGGAAATGTTTTAGCAAATCTAAACCCTTCCAATTCCATTCTCCTCAACATCTCTCTCAGGTGTGGCCAAACGTAGACAAGTATGAGCTGTTTGAAAAGCTAGAACTGGTCAAAGGCCAAAAGCGGAAGGTGAAGGACCGGCTGAAGGCCTATGTACGTGACCCCTATGCTCTGGACCTCATTGACAAGCTGCTGGTGCTGGACCCTGCACAACGAATTGACAGTGACGACGCCCTCAACCATGACTTCTTCTGGTCAGACCCCATGCCCTCAGACCTAAAGGGCATGCTGTCTACCCACTTGACGTCTATGTTTGAGTATCTAGCACCACCACGACGAAAGGGTAGCCAGATCACCCAGCAGTCTACCAACCAGAGCCGAAATCCAGCCACTACCAACCAGACAGAATTTGAGCGTGTCTTCTGAGGCAGGCACTAGGGCTCTTCTTAGGTTGGTGGTAGATTGCTTCCTCTGCTATGTGACTTACATGGGACATGTGACATGATGGGACGTTTGAGATTTTTCTCCTCCGGTACATATTTACTCCCCACCCTGGGTACTGGGAACAGCTGCCTGAGTGGACCTGGAGTGGAGTATTGGCTGTGAGACCCGGAGGGTGCCAGGGCCAGCCTGCCTGCCTGCCCCTCTCTGGAGGGTCTCAGCTTGGACAGGAAGTGAGGTGGTAAAGGCCTCACCCACTGTGACTTTCTAAGAACTCCTGGCACGATGGGAGGAGGGCACAGGCCCCTCACCATTCCCAGCCCTGCCTGGGGATGAGAAATTTGAGGGACAGAGGCACCTCAGAAATGGGCTACTTTTGGCAGACCTCGAGCATGGGGCTGATAAGAACTCTTGTTTTCTTCAAAAGGAGAATTTTATCGTGTTTGTTCAGTTCAGAGACATTCCTGAATGCAGTTTGATTGGTTAAAATTAAAAGTTAAATTTTTTTTCAGTACATGGCTGTATTTTTTTCATTTAGACTCTCAGCTCTTGTCCTACAGTTGGAAGTTAGAATTTGGTCTGCCAGGACACCATTAATCTTGTTTTTTGGGAAGGTGGGGGTGCGTTTCAAGACAGGGTTTCTCTGTGGCTCTGGAGGCTGTCCTGGAACTAGCTCTAGCTCTTGTAGACCAGGCTGGTCTTGAACTTGCAGAGATCCACCTGCCTCTGCCTCCCTAGGGAGGTGCTGGGAATAAAGGCGTGAGCCACCAACGCCAGGCTCAGTCTTGATTCTTTACCTCCTAACACTCTAGGTGATTGTCTTGTTCTGCCCTCCTGGGTACCTTCTACTGTACATCTCACACCCCCGGAAGGCAAATCCATAGTGCCCCACTGTCCAGTGCTTGGTGTTGGCAAATGTCCTGTGAGCGCAGTGTGGGTAAGCTGCTGGGCTGAGGCTGCTTTGGCTCATAAATCCTCAGAATTGACTCATCAGCAGGACAGTCACTGGAGCAACAGGAGTGATAGCTGTAGCTGGTAGCTACAGGACTTGTTTCATGACTGGTAACACAGCAGGGACCTACCTCTATCTCCCTGGGACTCATGCTCCAGTAGATTCAGACTACTCTGATGGAGTAGGTTCTATTAAAACACGTGAGGGCTGGGGAGATGGCTCTGTCAGTAAAGTGATTGCTGTACAAGTGTGGGGACCTGAATCTGACCCTCAGCACCCACATAAAACAGTAACTCAAGCACTAAGGTGCTTGCTGGTTAGTCAGGCTGAATTGGGAAATTTCCAGGTTCAGTGAGAGACTCTCAAAAAAAAAAAAAAAAAAAAAACTTGAAACACACTTGTCAACCTCTGGTTTCCACACATTAGCACACACATACAAACATTGTACACATACCCACAAGCATATGCATCTACTACACACACATGTCCCCAAAATGTAGAATGAGGAAAGGAAGTACAGAGCAGGTGAGGATATCAGGGTTGGTGTTGAAGCAAAAGCTCAGACTGATGAGCCTGCAGCACGTACAGTGGCCAGAACCATAGCTTTCTGAACTTGTGCAAGTGTGTGCCTGTTTTTACCCATGTGATAAAGCAGAAAGCAGGCCTTAAACTCCAAGTGGGGTTGCTGAAATGGCTTCAGTCGGTAAAAACATTTGACCAAGCTTCATAATCTGAGTTCCATCTCAGCAGCCCATGCTGTGGAAGAACTGATCCCCTCAGGCCTCCAAGTTATCTCTGACCTTCACAGAGCAAATGTGATGGTCATATACATCACATCACATGTACACATGAAATTAAAGTTTTTGTAAAATCCCTGAAGCAGCTGACTCCAAGCTTCCACCTTATCCCTTTCTCCAATGTCACCTTAGGGAGGAGCTGGGTCTGCTTCATTATCCAACCCTGTTACCCTGTTGTGACATGGGTCTTATTCCCAGCTCCTAGACAGTGTCAGCCCTGTGTGCTAGTCTGACATAAGACTAAGGGGAGTCTGGACTAGGGTTTTTTTTGTTTTTGTTTTTGTCTTTTTTTTTTTATGTCCTACAGTCTAGGGACTGTATCATATGTCCTGATTTTAAATCAATTGATCTGGTTAAACAAGGCCTCTTCTCTAGTATACTTGGACTTGGTCAAGGTCACCTTACCTTATCCCCATGCTGTACCTGAGTTCCCTCATCTTGCTCTGCTCATCTCTGCCAGGTAGGACAAGAGCCAAATGGGTCCCACTACAAGGGGAGGTGTGACAAGTTTGTCTAGAAGAGGCTAGGAAGTGCCAGTCTCACCTGGGCAAGGTCAACACCAGGGCTTGGACATCTCCCAGGTATCCCCTCCTCCCACCTACCTGCTCCTACTGCTCACCTTTAACCCCCATCTAGTTGTTATTTAATCCACAAGGGGAGTCCAGCTGAAGTGGAGACACCAACTAGGACAGCCCAGGAAGGTTACTGGGCTGTGCTTAGGATGGAGGCAGGAACCTATGGGGTAAAACCACCACTGGTGGAAAGGGTAAGAGGCCTTGGGAGCCTCCCAGCAAGGCCTGCAATGCTACTACGGCTGGGCAGAACTGGCTTGGCCAGAGGCACCTCTTCTTGTGATTCGCTTGTGCCCTATCCATTAGGATAGCAGGGAACCAAGTGATGAAAAGTGCTAGATGCCTATCCATGTCCTGGCCTGTAGCTGAGTTCTGGTGGGAACCGACCATGGCGTGGAAAGGTCCACTGTGGAGTGCTTGTGAAGCTAAAACTACTTCCTTTCAGGTAGGAGATCCCAGGAACCATTTTTGTGGTTGCCTTGTCTCCCTTCCTTGTGGATAAATAGTCCTCCAGGCTCAAGGTAGTAATCACTGCAGCCCCCAGGGAAAGGCCATGTCACCAGTACCTCTCTCCTGAGAAGATGAAAGGAACCCAGCTCACTGTGTAGCTCCACTCTCACAGTGAGGGACCCTCACTAGGCAAAATTGGAGTCTCCCTGGGTCTCAGGAGCAGACTAGAATCACCTGTGTTTTCCGGGAGGCAGGTGAGACACCCAGCTCAGGGCCAGATCCCTACTGAACAGGTGACTGCAGTGACCTAACTGCACGGAGCAGGTGAGGCTGGAGTCAGGTAGGGCCTGGGGTGGAGCCTGGTATGACAACCTGTAAATGACGAAGTCGCTGTCGATTTAGGCTTTTGTTGTCTTCTTCCCTGGGAAATGGGACTCAGAACACACGACCTTCCTCAGAAACAGTCATGAGGGCTAAATGAGTCACGGACACTCGTGGAAAAGCAGTGCATGTCTAGAAGGGACTTGCAGCTCGGGGGTGGCGGTGGCAAAAAAGTGGTGGCCAGTGAAGGCTAAACGGACTCAGCAGGCTGCACTGCAGCCTCCACAACCATCTCTGTCTTTCTGTTTTGTTTTTGTTTCTGTTTGGTTTGGTTTGGTTTGGTTTTGGGGTTTTCTTTCAAATTTGGTTTTGTTCTGGGCAGGGTGGGGGAGGTTGCAAGAGCAAAGGAGACGGGCAGATAAATGGGATTGATATTAAATCCACAAAGAATCAATAAAACTTAAAAAAAAAAAAGTGAGGGATTCAGGGATGATGTTCTGCTTTTTTTAAAGCCAGGGTTTCTCTGTGTAGCCCTGGCTGACATCCTGAACTCACTCTGTAGACCTAGCTGGCCCCGAACTCATAGAGATCCACCTGCCTCTGCCTCCTGAGTGCTGTAGGGTCACTTGTCTTGAATACAGGCACTGAACCCGATGATTCATCTCCCCTGGCCCAGAGAAGGGTTTCTTTTGAAATAGTAATACAACCACGTGCTTCAAAATCCCAAAGGTACAAAAGGTTGACAGGCAAAAGGAGTGAATGTCCTGGAAATCAGTTAATTAACTCTTAGTGGCCAAAGGCAAATGAGGCTCTGAGTCTCAGAAAGGGGGCCTGCCAAGGGTGTGGAACGCTTTAAGGAGAGGGAGGGGTCTCTGTAAGTCATTGGTGCAGATGTTGGAACATGAAGAACCGTGTCTGTCAAGGTACAGACATACACCCTACTTCTGAATGCTAGGCTTCTGTACAAACCTGCTGATAAGTTTGAATATCCTTGTTCTTGGTAGCAGCCCAGATGTAGAGAACCAGGTGACAAAGGGATGCCTGGACCTCTTCCCTCAGACTTCATCTTGCTATGGAGGAAACTAATCAGAGACGGGGGGGGGGGGGCAGCTTTCCTAGAGTCCCACAGCAAGCCCAGAAACTACAGAGAGAGCCCAGGGAGCAGACAGGTAGACAGATGATGGGAGGAGCAAGGCCAGGTGTCAGGAAGCAAGTTTTCTGGGTGTTCACACAAGGTTATGAAGAGGCTGATACCAAGCACAGGGGATATGGGGGTGTGAGGGAGCTGCTGCAGTGAGGGAACTGGCTCTGCCTCTCCATTGAGCACCACAAGGCAATAAGTATGAGCATGTGTAATGCAAACAATCCGTGACCTAGGCATTGCATATCTTAGTCCTAGGTTTTGCTCATATGTGGCAGAAATAAGGAAGGTAAATGATACCATTACATCATTGCATGGGGCAGCAAAATACAGGAAACAGCCTAAACATCAGTCCGCAGGAACCTAGCTAAGGATGCAATAGTGTTTCCACACCCGGAGTACTCCACAGCTCAGAAAAGCAAATCAGCCACAGAGACATCTACGTACCAACACAGTCTCGAAGAAGATCCTGAATAGAGGGCCTTGGGATAGGCTAGTATGATGGCTCAGTGGCTGAGGCACTTGCCCCCAACCCAACAACCTGAGTTTGAGCCCCAGGTCCTGCAAAGTTGTTCTCTGACCTCTGCAAACATGCTACGGTTTGCAACTGTGCGTGCCAACTCTAGCACCAGGGAGGAAAAGGTCCATGGAAACAGTATGATATAGAGTAGCCTATGCAGGGTTGATTGTGGTCTTGAATATGAAATTGAAGGCTGGGGATACAGCTGCATTGGCAGTGTGCTTGCCTGATGTGCTTTAGCCGTGGACATGAGCTCTAGCACTGTATAAACTGGGTAGGATAGAGATGCTTGCCTGTAAACCCAGCACTTTCTAGGTGGAAGAGGAAGATCAGGAGTTCAAGGACAGCTTTAATACAATGAAGACTTAGAGGCCAGTGTGGGATACATGAGACCTATCCCAAAATAATAAACAGATGGAAAGTCATGAAAACTGCCCTTGGGGACAGCAGAGTATACTCAGGTCCAAGGCAGAGGTGACATGCTCAAGTTCCAGGCATCCCACTTGTAATTCTGTGTTACAGCTGAAATAATATCAGTTTAGATCAATGGGATTGCCAGTGCTTTGTCCTCCGTGTCTGATTTCTGTTTCCAGTTAGCACTGATGTCTTTAGTGCAAATGCGCTAATGTTTAGCCAAATCCCCAGCTCCTCTATTGCTTTGACATGGCAAAGATAATGGAAATTGTGGCTGGAGAGATGGCTCAGCAGTTAAGAGTATTTCAATTCCCAGCATTCACATGGCGGCTCATAAAGACCTGTAA